TTAGACTTACCGTATATACACACATACACACACACACACACACACACACACACACACACACACACACATAGTTAGACAAATGTGCAACTCTAGAGGGGGGTGAATAGAGTTGTTTTCAAGAATGTGCGTTTTTCGCGTGTGTGAAATAATAGAATCGCAGGAATAAATAAAGAGAGTAAGGGAAAGAAGAACACCGAGATTTATACTGGTTCACCACCTCGTGGCTAATCCAGTCCTCCGAGAGACTCTCTCGAAAGTCCTACTAATTTTCAAGCTTCAACGGGTGCTTGAAAACGGGTACAACTTGAGAACTTGAATCACACAAGCCTCACTTTCTTACAACACCAAGACTAGAGTCGCACAAGTCTTAAGAACAACACTCAAACAAGATTGAGTTTACAACACAAGAATGAAAGCTCACACAATTGAGCAAGTAGTGTTGAAGGATTAAAGCTCTATGGATGACAACTTCTTTAGCACTCAAAGAAAAATATTTCTAACTCTCAAAAATAATATTTGATGAGGAAGATGAAGCAAGGGATGAATATAGCTCAAAGGGTATATTAGAGTGCAAGAGTAGTGTGTTGGAGAAGAAGGAGAATGAGGGTTAAATAGGCTGAGTGAAATAAATCCGTTGGAGCAAGGTGAGAATATGCACCAGATAAAATATAATCAATTAAAGGAGAACTTATAATCGATTAAGGTACACAGAGGCGAAAATGCCTGAAACCGAAAAATGGAATTAATCGATTAAAATAAGAGAAAAAATCGATTAGCTTGCTCTGTTCAAACTAATCGATTAAATGAAGCAATTTAATCGATTAAGTTTATGGCCTGAGAAATCCAGCGCTGAGGAGCTGGATCTAATCGATTAAGTAGAGATAATTAATCGATTAAAAGAGAATAATACGCAAAAACACAAATGGCCCAAGACCAGTTGCGATTGAAAGGCATTGGCTTCTTATTCGTTGTTTGAGACAATGAGAATAACAAGGGACGCTCCTCAAAAAATATATCTCCTATTCAATGAATTTGAGTGGGGGAGAAAAAGTGAGTCCAAAAATTATTTTGTGTGTCAAACGATGTACACGAAAAATATTTAAAGTATATTTTTCTTATTATAAAAAAATTGTGTATCCTTAAAAAGTATTTTTAAGAATTTTTGACACACTATTTTGAGACTGACTCAGTAAAATATTTTTAGACAGAGAAAAGATAATTTTTCAACTGACTCTGAAAATAATAATTTTTATCCCTCAAAATTAATTTGTTTATGCAGAAAGTATTGTCATCCTTACAAAAAATTTCTAGACTCAATAAAAAAGGTGTTCGGAATCTTCACTACACTTTAATAAACTGCGTAGGGGTGAGCGTTTGATTTTTATCGCCGTAAAAATCTTGATACGCCTCTTTGCTTTTCTCGATACGAAAATTAAATTTTTGATCAGCTTGAGTTTATTCACCCTGTTTTGTCATTTATCAAAACAAAAAAAAATTCCAGAATAATAATAAAGAGGTTTGAACTCATGTCCAACATATATATATATATATATATGTGTGTGTGTGTGTGTGTTATATAATATATTTAGATTTTAATTATTTCTTTCATTCTAAAATAAGGTTCTTAGTTAGTATTCATAGGTCAAACTATTTCTACATTCTTTATACACTTTTATCGATCGTTTTATAAAATAAAATAACTTCGTCACCACTTGTTTTGTAAAATTTTTGATGTACTTTTTTAAGTTGTAATTTTCATTTTTAAATTTTACCTCAATTTTTACTTATATTGATTTGAAAGTAACCTCAGTTAAGCATCGTAATTGGAGCAGGAGCCTTATTTAGGGACGAAGAGAGTATTTTAATTTATTTGATTTTGAGAATTGCCTACCCTATATAAGACCATCTTCCTTTATTGTAAATCAACTTAAGTTTTGAGATTAATATAAGTTGTTGCTTTGTTCGTTCATATACTCTTTTTAGACTTATCAAATGTGATACTTGTGGCATCATAACTCTCTTATCAAGACCTAGTGGGGAGATTTATTTCTCTTATCAAGTGTCCTTGGGCGAGAAAGTCTCTTATCTTCTTTCTCGGGGTATGGAGAACAGTATTCTTGGTCACACATATAGTAGGCTCATTGTCGTAATAGAGGTGAGGTTTTGACGGAGCTGAGGAATGCCTAGAGCACAATAATATACTGTAGCCACATAGCTTCTACCGCACCCGCATCCATGGCACGATATCCAACCTCAATAGAAGATCTAGAGTCACGAGTCTGGTTTTTCGTATACCAAGAGATAAAATTGAAGCTGAGAATGAGAATGTAGCTAGTAGTAGATTTTCAATCATCATAGGAGTAGCGAGTCATTTATCCCCATATGAAAAAACTCCTGCACACCAAATTTTTTTACACCATCCCCTTTTCGCATCATTATCACTTGAAAAGTTTTTTTTATTTTGATTGAGAAGAAGCAAAGAATTGGAAGGGAAGTCAACCTGGATGCGAGCCCTTGGTTTCAGCTTGAATCCCAGGGAAGGGTTCTTTGTTGTTTTCAGCATTTTGGATACATGGTACGTCAAACTCCTATGGTGGAACCTTTTCGAGCTGTATGGATCATCGGCCAGTAGTTTCTCACATGCAAATTCCAACTCGTGAGTTAGTTCAGGTTTAGTTCGCTCATAGTCCCTAACCTAGTCACCCCAACGAAGTCAAGAGATGGGAAAATCATCCTCAAGAAACTCAATGAAGATGTACTTGGTTTTCCATTGTAGCTGGCAGACATAAACTTTCTATTCGAGAATGAAAGAACACAAAACCCCTACAATTCTTACCACCAGATATAAGTTCAAACATATACGGAGTAGTTAAGAAGAGAGAGTTTCAAACGAAGATCTTGGCAAATATTTATAAAGAAATTTTGCAACCAGTGAGCATTTAGAGTTAGGTGACGGAGAAAAATTGAAAAGAAATGACAAACTTCGATCAAGAGAGGTCGGAAAAGAAAGAGAATACCACAATTAAGGGAGGCAATATAAAAACCTACTCGTGTATCATGGTAGGGTCTAATAATGTTAAACTTGTTAGGTTGGATATACCTGACCTTGTTCAAGTTTGTTATATACTCCCTTCATCCAAAAATTATCTTTCTAATCTCTATTGACTGGATCAAATTTCTCTCATTTGGTTAGCCTATTTTCATTGACTATTGGATAAAATAATATAGTTATGACACTTCTAGCTTTAAAAATGTATTTTGATGTTTCTTAAATATGTAATTTTATTTTTTAATTCCATATATTTTTTATATAAAATGATTTGAACCAAAACATATCTAAAACCGTAACATATCCCAACCAAAGTTAATATTAAACCCAACCATATGATATCCAAAACCGGGATCTCTTCAAACAAAAATTATACTGATTCGAACTGAACCGATTATAAGAAATATCCAAAAGATATTCAAATCGAACAAATCTAAACTGGAACCGATCCGATCAATCGGGTTGCCATGTCTTATTTTAGGTCTATATACTGTTCAAGTTGTTTCTCATTCCCAAAACACTCCGGATACATGGATGACAAACAAAACTCACAGAATTTTAATGAGTACTCAATCCCGTATCCGTGCCACATAGCATCACACACACCTATGAAAAAACTAGATTAATCATCTCTTTGAGATTTCTGCAACCCACAATTTCCATGTCACCAACCTCTAGCTTTGTCAAGGACTTTGCAGCGGAATTGGGCACAATACATTTTTTGTATCCCAGTTTTGCCACTGTATTCACCCTTTTGTCCATTAATGGGACCTGCATTTATTATGTAGATTCAGCAGAAGAATGGTATGAACAGGTGAATGGAAAAGGGGGGTAATATTATAAAGCATGGGCTTGTAACACGCAAATTAGGAAACCTAAAATTGTGTGGTTAATATTGATATTAAAAAGTAGCAAAATGTTAAAATGAGTGAGTCACCTAAACATTCAATATTGAGACAAAAATAGTGGGACATACAAAAAATGTGAAAATATTAAAAAAAAAGTGAAAGCGAAGGAGTATATATTATTTTAATAAAAATATGAAATCAAAAAAGTATAATATTTATTTTGACTTGTTTCATTTACTAACCCCTTCCAACTTATTTATTCCAATTGCTTCCAACTCCTAATTCTCCTAATTTCTTTCAATTTTTTCCAAATCTTTCTAATTTCTTCCATTTTTTTAGTTTCTCCAACTCCTTCCAGGTGCTTTCAACCCCTTCAAATTTCTTTTAGTTTCTTTCAACTTCCAATTTCTTCTAACATTCAACTTTATTTATCCTAGCAAAAGATTAATGCCTAAATGGAAATAAATACACTCAGTAACTACAAATGAGTTGCTCCCTAAGTGCATTACCATTACACAGAATTGAAATTTTATACTGTTAACTATAGAGGAATTACTACTAACTTGCAATACATATACAAATTCTACCAGTGGTTGTACAATAAAATTTTCAGAAACAAAATTTTACATGTTCTTATCATTAAAAAATGTTAGATAAAGGAATGAAGATTGGGGTATATTGCAATTTTTG